CAGCTTGTTAACCTAACTTAGTATAAAGAATGGAAGATTGGGAGCTAGCATGTTTTTATTCATCATGTTTTTATGAAGATAGAAATACTGATTAATCACTGAAGGGAAGAAGTACTCGATTTCTTTTAAAGGGATACTTCACCCGTTGAAACATGAATCTGTATTGACATTGGGTCATATATGTAGTAGAAATGTGAAATACATTTTGAAGTTGGTGTCTTCTTGGCTGAGAAAAGGCAGAAAGTGTCTTTTTGGCTCATGTGCATGAAAGACACCAAATCCCAGAATGCACAGCACCGCAGGCCACTCCCACTAACGTCAGGTTTACAGACATATTTACTTCAACACATGAGGCCGTTTCCTCAACTGATTCCGAGATTTCTTCCAGAAGGAATTGGTATCTTGGAAATTCCTGTCAGAAAACAGACTCTATGTCAGTGTCCATAGACAAACAGTGAGAGCACCGACACTACCAGTCCACCCCAGCTCGAGCCGCCCGGCTCCTCGTCCTCACCGCCGCCGACAGGCAAGCCAAAACATAAGACCGGCCTGTCGGCAGCAGCCATCTCCCGCTATATTTATTTTTTGGCCAATATCAGCTTTCTCCATAGAGCCTGTTAGCATACCAAGCAATATGGCGGACGTTAAGTTTCGATTCTGGGAGTGAGTTCCCACCCACTGATCTGTGATTGGTCTGTAGCTTCAGTGGTCGAAAATATGAGGAACTAGCGTTGTAGTTTCACCCCGCTAATCGCAACAGCTTCCAGTGACGATTTTTGCATCACTGGAAGCTCCTTTTTAGACTCAGAAATACAAAGATTTCCCATCTCAGGGGAAAATGAGGGCGGGATGCACGACCATTCAAAAATACTACCAGGTTTCTAATGATACAAAGCTTAATGCAAATGGGTGAAGTATCCCTTTAAGCTGTCATCACAAGCAAGCTATCTGTTTCTAGTCTTTTAGCCAAGATATTCATTTGTAATGTAGAAAAAAAAAAAAAATAATACATTATTTGAAGAACCTCTTGTTGGCTTAGTTAGGAGCATTTGTTTATACACTTTGGTTTTAGATACATTAAGGGTTTATAAATTACTTTAGTTAATGGTGATAGTTTTTATGCCTTTTAACAAGACCTGGTCAACGTTTTCCAGTCTTTACTTTTATATAAGCTAAACAATTGTGCCTTATAGCTTTTTTTTCTTTTTTTTAAAGATTTTATTTTGTGGCTTTCATTTTTCAGCTGGATGAGATAGGGCAGCTTTGGACAGACAAGAAATGAGGGGAAAGAGTTGAGGATCACATGCACCCAACAGCACCAGGATGTCAAACCTGCAACCGGTTCAATAAGGACCATGATGCCCACTCCACCCACTGAGCTAAAACCCAACCCGTCTTGTAGTTTTTAATAGAACCAATAAGCTAACCAGTTGAGCCTCACAGTTTTAAATGTATCATAGTGATACAGGTTGTGAAATATTTTTCATCCAACTCTTGTAAATACTTTGACATTTCCCAAAATGTCAAACTTTTTGGTTGATCAATTATTCAATCAAGAGAAATGAATCAGTAAGTTTGATAAATGAATAGCCAAAGTCATTGTCAAGAAAAAATCCCACCTGCTGCAGCTTCTTAAATTGTTGGATTACATATTGTTTTGACATTTCACAGAAGAAAATATTAATGTGTTGATCAAAATATTGACAGATTAATGATGTGATGAAAGTAATTAGTTTTAGCCCTATAACGTTCACAATTCAAGTGTTAGTAATGAGCTACCTTCTGTTCTTCATTGAGTTGTGTCAGATTTACCACCATCAGCTAACGATCGAGGAGCCTAAGGAGACAGGAGAAAAAAAAAAACACCCAATACGACGTTTCTCTTATGGCATCATGTTTTACATGTACAGTCTGTCCTTTGGTCACCATAAAAGAGCGACTGTCATTAACCACCTTTAAAGCCCACACACTGAGGCCGGGTAATGAGATGTGCAGGGGTCTTAAAAGCTTCAAGAACAAGGTTTTATTAAACCACTGATGCATTGGTGTGATGTGCTAGTGTTCACATGTACATCAGTTGCTTCACACTGAAATTAATGCTAAATCTATGTTCAGTTTTTCTACAAAAAAAGGCAAAATGTACAAACAGGAAACATCACTTTGCAAACAGTACATTGAAACATTACATTCCTATTTAAACACCATGCACTTTAAGATAATCAAAAACAATAAATGTGTTAACGTATTAAGAAAGAGGTGATTGAATTTCAGTCTGAATGCAGACCAGGCTCTTGGCAAGAATTCAGCATTCAAGCAGCATTGATAATGTTTCACCGTTAGTTGCTCCCTCGTGTATGCTCGCCTAAGGTCCTTTAGGTAGTCTGAGAATTGGTTTCATGGGGCCGATGATGATTTCCGAAATACGCCGCAATTTCAAAAACCCGAGGTAAGCACTGGTTTTTAATACCACAATTCAAAATGAACCACTGCAATACCTCGTGATATTTTTACCATTCAATTTCTTTTTCTCCGAGGAGTGTTCAAGTTTTACAGCATCTTAAAAAAATAACTGGTTCTGTATGTACAACAACAACAACAACAACAGTGGTGATATAACAACACTGTGTACAATAACACATTGTTGTCTGATCCTGATCAGCTATGTTGTGAAACCTGCCATGCCTGCATGAATGACTGGTGAGTCTTGATATACCTAAGGTAATGACCAAATGTTTGATCATATAGGATAAGATTATCTTTATGAAGTCATGAGATATGCCAATTATTTCAATGAGTATGAAGTAGTTTTTATACTTAAAACAAACAGATGAAAATAATCAATCCCCAATTTCATTAACAAAATAAACCAAATCATCTAAAAATCAACAACAGCATTCAAAAAACGTTCTAAAGGCACAAGTAACTATGTGGCTCAAGACATCATGATTTCTCAAGGTGTGAGAAGGATTGGACAAACATCTCAGAATCAGAAACCTGAACCCTTTAGTAACTGATAAAGGTGATGTGTTTTGTTATGTAGCTCACAGGTTGCCTTGATAACACAGAGTTACACTATATCAGGTCATTGTCATGATCATCTTGGAAACACTCTTACATTCATTTCATATCTTGTTCTATCGCCAACAGCCACAATATTCACTTCTTTAACAATCAGTAATAAATACCACATGTCCATCCAAAGAGCTGCCTCATATTTTCTTCTGTAACATACATTCTGTTTCACTGAATAGCATGTTTTTAAATAAAAAAGGGGAGGATGTTATAGCTGCACTCTTGCCTTGCGATCTAAATGTTTACCCTCCAAAACGTCTGAAGAAATACAAGCTAACAGCTAGAGCCCAACCATTAAACAGGCTGATATTGGCTTATCAATAATGTGTCACTATCTTTCAACGTGTCAGGCAGTAATGAACAAAACACGTCAGGAAAGATATGTTTGATGTAATTTAAAAGTTTCTTGATAACAAATGTATTCATGTTCAAACGTTTGAAACTTAACTAAATGTATGCAATAATGCCAGCAAAGATTGTTCTCCTTAAAGTCAAACTGAAATCTAGTTTTACAAAAAAACTCTTCTCTAGTTACCAAAACAATACATGCTTTTATTGATTATGTTTACATGTGATATGAATTCTTTGTACTGACCGTAATCACACTTTTGTACTGTCTTACAAATGGACCAAATTCTGTGTAGGGGTGAACAACAGTAAAGTGTGTATGTTACAAAAGGCTTTAAATGAGAAGAAAGTGGTGCCATAAGGACATCACTGGTTTTGAAATATTGTTTTGGAGGGACATTTTGGCCATTACTATCTCCCATTGTTTAGATTGCAACTTGTTTACCCTTTCTAACTATGACTAAAATATGTCAATAACTGTGGCAGCAAACTTTTCAGTAACCCTTAAGAACCTGCTTTATTGTTGACTAACTTTTTTAACTGAACCTTATTCTGCCTCCTGCTGGCCATTAGAAAGAATGCAGGTTTAAGGCACTTCCACATTGGCTTCACTCTTTAAACCAAGAGGCTACAGCAACCTTATGTACGGGCATAAGGTCTTCATTTGTCACACAATGTCCCTGGTGGACTACAGGGATGATAGAGTGCTCAGATTAGAGGACTTTTCAAAGCTTCTGGACTTTTTCTAACACCACAACTATACCCATTTAAAAAAGGACATCTAATGCGGGCTATCTTATCTACAGTGTGAAATACAATGTAAGCCCCTGTTGATTTAGCTAGATATGTTTCAAGTTGAAGAAAAACAAACAAAGGCTGTAGTATCATAATTCATAGTTTTTACATTAAAATGAAAATTAAATTAAATTAATACAATTTCAGTTTGACTTTAAATGGAAATATCAGCCTGCAGAAACTATAATCTTCTGATATTTTAACTTGAATTGGTCAGGCTCTCAATCACTCTCCTGTTGAATGTAACTCCGACACTGATATGGAAAGAGGAGGAGCAGCAGCTTTAATACAACAGTCCTGCTTTTAGATTGTATCGTGTACAGTGGACAATGATGCACTGCATGTACACGGCACAAGGAGGTAATTCACAGACCATCTCAGAAACATGCCTTCTCAGTGATGCTCTTCTGTTACATTTTGTCCGGCAGTCCGAGCAGCATGGGGGATGCTTGGCTAGCAGCTGGTCCGACACCGTGCGAGTGCTTTGATTTTCATGTTCTCCATGCATAGACCTTGCACATCGTTCTCCCCTCCCTTCGACACGAGGTCCCCCCAAAAGCTACGGCTCACCGTGTCACATGACAGGGCAGGTGCAGCCTCTCGCATAATCTGTAAAAGGAGACGCCTCCATCGTGGAAGTTAAGCCGCTGCCTGCCTGGATCTCTGCATTTGGCTGTTACAGGAAGAGGCGGATGATGTGCGTGGTTAAGAGCCACCTGTTCAGGGTTTGGAGAGCCAGGACTGGTTAGGATGAGGACAGAGTGTTGTTGTTTGGGGGGGGGGGGGGCAGAGAGGTGGGAGATCAGATGCTCAGAGTCATGTTACGGAGCAACCACTGCTGAGAGCGGCTGTCGTTGCAGTCTCTCAGGGTGGGGACCATCTTGTCCTCCTCAGTCGGCATGTCCAAACACTGGTTGCTGTTCACGTGCAGCAGGGTGAGACGCTGCAGGCAGAGGGGAGGTGAAAAAGACAAAGAAGTGAAACGTTAATAGACGAATAAGCCTTTTTGTTTTTGCAAATAAATAAATAAATTCCTTCCTACGGTTTGTTTTTTTATGTGGTGTGAAGAGTTATGCTTTCCATCAACCTGCCTAATTGACTGTGCTTCAGCTCTTTCCTCGAGGAACTTGAATCCACCTGGATGACTAAAACCTTCACAGACACACACATCAACTTCTACTTCAACTATTGATTTCCCACATTTCACAAAAAATACCTCTCAACACGGTAAATGGCCCGGGCTTGTTGCACTTGGTAACTGCAGCAGAAGCAAGCAAAAAAAAAACAAAAAAAAAAAACAATAGGAACATCAAGAGAGCAGGATTTTCTTGTCGAGAAAAAAGTTGAAGTCGTGAACCCTTATACAACACAACATGCTCTGAGGCTGCTGGGAGAATGGAGGCTCCTGTTTGTGTGAAGACTGTTGTCATTGCCACTTTATACAAAAGATTTCTCTGAGAATAAAGAAAGTGCTAAAAAAAATCCATTTCTCAACATCAGAAAGACTGAAACCAGCACCTACTGCTTTTGTTTACAGCCGAGTTCAGCGGTACTTCAGACATTCATGGACAATCGAATGAAATGCTCTAATGTGAAACAGTTTCTATTTGTACCAATACCACCATGCTAGTCTATAGCTCCTATGACTTTTGGTTTTACAAACAGATTCTACGCCTTTTTCAATGATGAGACAAAAATGGTTAATAAAGATGTTGAGCCAAAGAAAAAAAAGTTGTTTCTAAAATGATGGTGGATTTAACCAGGGATTTAATTCCAGCAGGTTTTAGTCTCACATGGAAACAAGACGAATACGCTCTGGTGGAATCATTGGGTCCCATTCAGGCAAGCTTAAAGATTTATTTTTTGGCTTTTTGTACCTTTATTCAGAGATAGGACAGTGGATAGAGTCAGAAATCAGGGAGAGAGAGAGAGTGGGGAATGGCATGCGGGAAAGGAGCCACAGGTTGGATTTGAACCCAGGCCGCCCGCTTGGAGGAGTACAGCCTCCATTAGAATCATAGTCAGGAAACTGCTCGGATCTTTTGGTTTAACTCGTGCTCATACCTGCAAACAAAGCCAGCTAATTAACAAGAGGAGCACCATTGACAGACCCTTGAATGACATCGCATAAAATGGGTTCTTAATCTGTCATGGCAGCAAACACAACACAAAGGAATTATTTTTACCTTTAAACCGCTCACTACTGTAACTTAGCAACTCCTGGAAACCTGTGCTCCATTAAGTCCACCGTTAATCCTCAAAGTTTTTCATAACACACAAGAAAGACTCACTTCTCACGACAAATGGATGCCACACTACATCCACTGTGAGCATCAAGGCCACTGATCTTAAAGGGGAAGGTAATGGGAGGAACTCTACAGCAAGACTTGAGCTTCTAGAAATCACTTTATGATCCTTGTTTTGCTTCATATAATCCTCAAGCTTTATCAATATTCTCGCTCATATACTTCTCATTAACTGAATTCCACACAATATCATAAATATAGATGACGTATGTATCAATGTTAAAACATTTATATGTAATATCGGATCATTGAATTTTTTTTAATTTAGGTAGTTTTGAGATCAGAACCATTAAGATGTAAATCCCTGTCACATTGCATCTCTCCTCACACTGTCGTCTCCTCCTCACTTGTCCTGTGTTTTGTCAGTTTCATCCCGTAGAGCGGCGAGAACAGAACACGGAATACTGGCTTTTAAAATGTCAAGACTGCAAACAACACACCTGTTGTGATGAGCTCAACCCGAGCACCACACGAGAGAGTGAACCACATACAACTGTGGCTATCTGCCTCAGAGGATCCAGAGATAACACCACCCGAGTGGTCCTGACACACACACACACACACACACACACACACACACACACACACACACACAACTGGAAGAGAGCTCTCAATGGCCTTGATTAACCATTTATGCTCATTCCCTCAGAAGAAACACGCTTCCGCAATTTGGATCCTCACTTGAGTTGCTTTTCTGGTCGTAATGATCACATGCAGAGAAGCAGCTCAGATGAAGTTGGTGCATAAGGAAAATGACTCTGCTGAGGAAAACAATGCCATGATAAAATAGGGGAAATTTAATTAAAAATAAAAATTCTGTTTTCATCAGTTGTAATTTACAACTTGATTAGTTCTATTGGTTAATTTGTTAAATGCTTTTGATCACAAATGAGTAATGACCTGTTTCACGGGTCTGCTCGCTGCTATCTTGGGGGTTATTTTTTCAAACTAAATAGCATAGCATACATTAAACACATAGATGTAAACAAACTACATACTAATACATACACATAGGTATGATGTATCTGTGGTTATGACACAATTTTTCATTACAACTAGACTGTGCTGTGACTGTTGGCAGAGGATAGTCAGCCTAATGAGCACACACAGACGCTCAGGCCATGTTTGATCTTAAGCTATTAAACACAAGGGTCTGATATCCCCTGACTGGATACAAAGAGGTACACACACACACAAACACACATACACACACACACACCTTTTCTGAAGTACACATTGCAGACGGCCCTACAGGCACATTTGTTCAAACAAAACAAGAACAAAGAGAGCAGGTGGCGCTCGACCTTCCACACCTGCTAAAAAACAAGACAGAACAATAAAGTGGCTCTACACTGGAGAGGTTTTAAAAATAAGAAAAAATATTCTACAACTCAGACAAAGGAAGAGTCATCCCTCCCTAGTTTCAAGGACAAGTAGAGAAAAAATGAAACAATATTCAATGGGAAAATTACACTGCAGAATAATCAACAAATACTTTTCTTTAAGACTTATTCATGCATGGAGCTTCTCGTATCTGGAATTAGATCTAATCTATAAATGATAACAACCTCACAGAGGCAGTGATGAAAACACTATTTCATCCTCTCGTTCAAGGATCCAAACCCACTCTAGTAGCCGAGATGACGGAGAGAAAGTATAACGACGACGGCTGGTTAAAAAAAATACTCCACATTTAATGAAAATACTAGAAATGTGGAGGTCCTGTCCTTTGCTCATAATTATTTCACAGCTCCTCTGGGGCAGAGAAAACTCCTATCTAAGCCTCCCAGCAAACCAACCAGCGTCTCCGGAGCGAGTTGCTGAGTGTGTGCACAGCTGAGACTGGCTAATTAAATGAGGATGGTTTCTAACCACGAGGCCGGGCTGAGGAACATTATCCTCTTTGTCACCAAGCAGCATGCTGGACTTGCTGAAAGGCAAAAGAGTTCCTGTTTGATGTGATCTTGTGCTGACACTGGAGGAACATCTAGAGGGCGAGGACGTCTTTTGTGGGAAATACAAAACCAGCGGATTTCTTTTGTCTCTCGGCAGAGTCAGGCAACAGTCTCATTTGCACTAATGGTTCGCCCGCTCCTGTGTACATGTTCTCCTCTGGAGCCAGCTATGCCACAAGGACCTCGGAGAGGGAACAACAAATCAGGCCATCTAACAGCAGGTCACTTTACTGTCGCTGCTCTGAAACACACCAGCAGCCTTGGGAGTTTCTTACCCAATTTACCCTGCTTGGTCGCAAAAACTGAGATGTGCTAGAGAGAAATGTCTCTTTAGCTTTTTAAAAGACACAACAGTACAGGACTCCAAGGTGCAAACTGGCTATAACTCAGCAGAAAAAAAGTTGGCGACAGAGAAAACGAGAGGCAGACAGAGAGGACTGAATAGCAGCAGAATAACAAACCTGAGTGACAGAAATGCTGAGCCAAAAAACCTTCTTTACAAAAAGTATGTAAATAAGCAGGCAGAGTGGTGGAAAGCTCTGATAATTGGAATGCATTGCTTCGACAATATGTACATGGCACACGGTGTACACAGCTGCTTCAGGCCAAAAGGAGAGCAGCCTGAGAGGCCAGGGCCATGAAAGCTAGGTTCACAATGAAGGATCACTTCAAAAGAACTTGTACACAATGGCAAGCCCGTTTCAATCAGCCCTGCACGGAGATAATCAGCCGAAAATAAACACGTCCTCCAGCTCAGGCATCGTTCAGCAAAATGCTGGCAGTGCAGTGAATTTTCCCATCAAAATAAAATATTTATGTTGGAAAACAAATGTTAAATGAGATCTAATTTAGTGTGAAGAACAGCTAAAGGTCTGGCAGATAGCATTTTATACACAGAACCATCTTGATGGGACATCCGTCATTGCTTAATGTGGCTCTGCCCTGCTCTGCATAGGTTTCCTCCACTGAAAGGTCACCGGAATGAGCTACTTAATACACCATGAAACTATTTTCATTCACATTCGGACTAATATCTGAAAGATCAACATCATAAGATCTGCATTCATCCTTCCAAAACAGGAAAATACTAAGTTCTATTTAAGCTCCGGTGGGGAACTTTAAAGTGGAGGCTTCCCCTGTGAACAAAGCCGACGCCGTACCTATTTTCTCTTTGCCTCAGGTAGTATTTAAAAAAAAAAAAAAAAACTCATCCTGCTTTAACAGTCACATCCATCAATCAATCACATATCATTCTGAATATTTGCTGTGGAAAGTATAATCAATGTTGTCTCCTCAGTATGTCTGAAAACAATAGCTCAGCACCTTCATTGAAAAACTGGACGTAGTAACTGGACGTGCCGGCAAACAAGCTAGGCTATCCACTGCTGCAGGTGAGGAAGTTCGTACTACATTATTTAGCCACAAATTTTATAATTTAACATTTAAGAAAAACCGACTTAGCAATCAATGACAATGTAAATGCAAGTTTTGTGAGACGTTTTTCAGCCACTTCTTCGGTGTAACACATACATCTCAGCCTACAGAGCACCTATTAACTTTTTTGGGCCTGCAGGTAACAAAAGAGACAACAAATACAACCAAACTAAATAATGAGTAATGTTTTCAGTGACTCTGACGTGTCATTTACTGTGGATACTTAAATGGATTGGAGTACACAGATGAAAAGCTTCTGCAGATGGAGACTCAACCGGTCTGAAAGAGAGAGGGGGGAAACTTCTGTGGAAACTGGAGGATAAGACAGATCCTAAGTTACCTGGTGGTGCAGGTATATAAACTGTGATCCCACAAACCCGGTGAGTTACGATGGGGACTTGGTATAAACAGTACTTCAGGACCTTATGAATAAGAGCATACAAACTGCTCACATATATGCCTGCAGTCTGCATCACTCACCATCCAGAGCTCCCCGCCGTACTGAACTCTGGTGTTTTATGGACTTTCTTCACATTTTGGAAAACCTGCAAAGTAAAGCACTGGAAACATTTGTAAATATACGTTAAACTTATCTAGTTTAGATCAGTTTTTCCTAAAATGAGCAAAATGACGTGGTACAAATGGCCCCATCTGCAGTGGTGTGTATAGCCTAGCTTCTGTGCCAGCACTCGTTTTCTCAATAAAAGGGCCGAGCTGACTGGAATCACATGTGGCTAATACACTTACTATTGACAAGTACCTCACAATCCCACAGAAAAAACAACAAACTATCCCTTTAACTAGCCCCTTCTACTCATCTGACAGCTACCGGCATGATGAATTACAAAACAGAAAAATATTTCATCTTGTCATGAATAACCTTATTGCTTTTTGTAGGTCACAAAGAAGTCTTACTATCCATTTCAGTCTGTTTCAGGAAAAGTTAACAACTCCACCCAAACAGATCAAACTAATCTATTCTAAGTTTAAACAATGCTAATGCTAAAATATCACTATGTCACAGCTAAAACGAGCACTCTCTTCATCTGCTCTAATCTCTACTAACGTGCTCACCTCAGGCCCCACAGTCCCGCAGAGCATCGGGAGCTCAGAGAAAATAATCAGTGGGACTGTAGTAGAGGTGTCTAGCGACCTCCACATGGGTGTAGTTGTGGAGGATCCAGTTTTGTATTGGACTGTTGTTACAGTACTCCACCGTGGGCCCGTAGGTGCCGTCCTCCAGGCGGCTGATGGTCAGACATGATTGGGTGATGATATGGAGGAAGGTGTGCTTCTGCGGTGAGCCAGGAGTAAGAGGGACAGATGGTAGTGAAGGTAAGTCTTGTTAAATGAATTGGTCTGCTCTCTACAGGAAACTCTTATTAGCTTAATAAAGATGATAATTTTTTTTTTTAAAGCACTGATTTAATTTTTTTTTTATTTAATTGAACGATAGGTCTGTCTGTTTTTTTATTTCAAACTGAGACTCAATATCAGCCTACGGCAAAATTAAATGTGATAAAGCTGCTGTGTTATTCATTATTTCAAACTCATCGTAGACAATCATCAGAGATACGAGACGTAAGGTTGTTAAAGAAAAAAGAAGGTTGAATTTGCTCAAACTGTTAGTAGTTTTTTTTTTTAGAGACATATGCTGGACATCGACCTTTTTCAAGAATCAAATGCACAATATGATACAACACACCTTTACACAAAAGCCACAGGATGCAATAACCAATCAGAGAGCAGGCACAAATATCAAAACATGTAAGCCTCATATCCCCTGACAATCGCATCATTGATAAAGACTAAATAACCCAAAAAAACGATTTCAAAATCTGTGTAAAACTTTTTAAAGTAGTGAGGAGGAAAATTTCCTTTTCTCCTTATGCTACTGTAGTTTATCAAGCTAGCTTATTTTCCTATTTGTCTCCCTACTCATTGCTTTTACCAGTTCTTTACAAGATGTTTACAGATCTTTATCATCCCATATGACAAGACCATGACATTTAGAACTTGATGTTTTAAATTGTGAATTTGATTCCTGATTAAAGGTCCACACATAAACAGTTATGTCTCATTGCTTACAGCCCTCTATTGGAAAACTGTAGTATAAGAGAAAAATCCCACTTCAAAGTGAAATTCTTTGACAACACAATGTTTGTTATTGTATCTTCATGACTGTCAGACACAGCCGTATGAACACTGCTAATACCAGTGACTAGAGCAGGTGAAATGAAGGACTGTGTCCCCTCATGCTTGTGAGTGAAGTCAGCAGATATGTGAAAAAGTCAGGTATTCCTGTGACAGTGAAACTGATGACCAGATGAAATGTTAATGGTACTGTAGTCGCAGAGGATTCGGTCCCTGTCTGTCACACTTGTTCTATAAATAACCCCGGCCACCCACAGCGGTGAAGCCCCAATGCTGTGTACAATGGAGACCGGCCCTCTAGCTTTATGAATTATTCAATGTTCTTCCCATATTAAGAATGCACCCAGAGAACAAAGTGTAATGAAAGGATTCCTCCTCGGGTTTGTTCAGGGTTTGACGGAAAGCCTCCAGGCTTCCTCACCTTGCTATCTTTCAGCGATATGACATCTCAATCACTGACAGGTATCACTTTATTCAGAGGAGTCTTTTCTTAGCCTCCCCCAGTGATTTGAAAAAACCCATAAATAGTTAATTTAAATGATGCTTTATGACTTGTATAATCCATAATGTACTCTAGAGTGAACACAGCTTAATGAGAATATTTCTCTGAGCCTGCATCATCGTTTTCTGCATTCAGCTGAATATAAACGTCATCAGAATGACACAGCTCACATAAATATGAAATCAAATGAAGCTCTGTTGTTTGATTTGCAGTTTTTTGGCTTGGTCATTTATCCCATCTTTGTTTTCATGTTGGTGCTACTATGGATAAATGAACAATGACTCACTCGTACATTTTTGCGTGGTACAAATTCAATACGGCTTGTATGAGCGCGACTTGCAGGCTGTACGGTCTCTAATACACAGAACAAAAAGAAAATATCATGAAGATTATTTCTCTTACAGGCTCATTTATCTTTGTTTTGTTTTGATTTACAGGAGATTAGGTCAGCATTATTTTTAGCTCTGACATTTGGTTTATAGACTTTTTCCATACAGCTGAATGTTTGTTCCATCATTTGCCTGAATGATTCGGCCACTCACTTTGGGATTTTTAATGGTCGATACTTTAGATATACTCAATCATTTTTAAAAGCAAAACCAACTGCAGCCTTTGAAACAATCATATGGCTGAATTAAAACATTTCTCCTTCAATTTTACCAAACACATACTACAGTGCGTTTACTTTACATTATATATATCTATCATAATCTTCTAGATTTATTTTGAACCGACTACAAAAAAAAGTCTCCAGTTTTAAACAAGGCTTAATTTCTTCTCTTCTAATAATCACTGACACGTCACAGTGTTCAAGGATTTCACAAACCTGGGTGCACAGGACTCAAACTACGAGGCGACATTCAGAACGATGATTTGAAAAGCTTACCTCAAAATCATATTCCCACTTGCCAACATACTACATGAAGGAAACAAAAAACACATGAGAGGAGGGAAACAGCTGCTGGTTGGGAAAAACAACTCAACCTCCACACAATGAAAAAACTGACACACAGCACCATCTGGTGGCACCCAATGAGTACTACCCAAATCAAAGTTCACGCCACTAAAATGCAATCTCCTCATGCCGTGATCAATCAGCATTTTGTCCAAGTCATCATAAGTCATCAGGAGCGAGAAGGGCTGCTTGGATGTATGGATTGTCTGGATGCTTTGTGAGACATAAGCTCTTACCTCAGCATCATACTCGAACATCTGATTGCCCTTCATGTGGTGACACTTGAGCATGACCACAGGTCCGTTGAGGCGGGAGACGTCCAGACAGAGGTCATCTGTCCTGATTTCTTTGTCTGCGGTGTACGAGAACACCTAGAAACAAAAATCTCAGTCAGCCAATGAAAAAAATCTGCAAGTCCAACAATGGTCATCTTTCTTTTTTTTTTTTAAAGAAATTAAGGCAGTCTGTCATTTGAATTGAAACAATATTTATTTTTGGTATATATTGATTGATGGTCTATACCTTAATACTAATCCTCCTCAGAACAGAGTACTGTTATGTATCAAGAAAGTTGTTATTACAGGTAAGTAATAACACTATAATAATAACACTATAATAATAACTTGTCACTTAATGATTTATGGTGTAGCTAAAGACAGAGGTAACAATGATTTGGACAGAAATAAAATCATATTCTAATGTGAACCATCTTAAAAAGCCAGACTTATCAGTGAAACTCAGCATTGAGCCAAACCAGCAATAAACTTAAGGACGGTTCAAATAAATGGCAGAAACACCAACATCACTTGTATTTAAAATCTGTGGATTGACTTTGCAATTTACCCAACTTTGTGTCCAACCCGATTGAGCTGAAGCTTTGTAGACCAAATCTCAAAAGCATGTTTCAAAGATAAAGACTTATTTAAGGCTTGGTTGGTTTAGTATTCATTAATAGAGCACGATCCGGGACTATTGGGCCTCGAGTGAGTGTGTCCTTATACCTCCCATGTACAGTACTACATCATCAATACATGTTTTGATGATGTTAGGGAATCACCTGGTTTCCGCCCATGCCATGGCAGTTGAAGAAACCAACTTTCTCGTTTTCCTTTCGTCCCATATTGTCCACACACTGGTTGGTCTCAACATTTCGGATCTGCATGAAGGAGCAAGTTGAAAATAATTAGAAGTATCATTTAACATTTGAGATTTTTTTCTGCAACATTGTAAAAGTTTTTAAGTGTAAAGAGGCAATTTACTTTATTAATACCAGGGCTGATCTTTACAATGTATGTGACATACTTCAGACTTTGTGTCCAAAACACGTTTGATTTTTAATGCCAAACTGAGGGCAGTCAAGTGCGGCTTAATATTTCTCACAAAGAATACATCTTTTAATTTATCTATATTTTTATTAATTAAACCTTTAGTTGATCTCTTTTTCAAGAGCGTCCTGGTCAAGACAGCAGAATAACAGTTTCAAACAGAGAACAAAAGACAGACAACAAACAGAAATGACATCAATCACCAAATCAAACGAGAGATCAATCCTGTCTTTTGTAGGGCTGTTGATTCAGTTCCATTAAATTTTACTTCATTAAACAGTCAAATCAACATACTCCTTTTTTTAAGGTTAAAGTAGTAGGTTGTGAACAACCTTTTGAAGTTTATAAAGCTCAAACAGCGATCATTACATCTGTTCATTGTAGCAGCTACAGTAAGTGGATTTAAAGAATATACATCAGCAACAATCCTTTTACTATTAATCGAAAAATAATTTGAGTTACAGTATTTAATTAAAAAAGCAAAGATTTGCCAATTCTGGTTACCTTAACTCTAGTCTTTTCTTTGTTGTATCTCAGTGTAAACTGAATATCTTTAGGAGATATTTTGGGGACATTTTAAAGGTAAAATGTTAAACCAATAAAGTCATTATTACTTTAATAATTCAAAAAGTTTTTCAACCTTAATAAGATGAAATAAATGAGTGATCTGATGGCTCAGCCTGACTAGCATCTGCATTCACAGCTTCCACAGACTTTATAGTCAACTTTGCTTTCTAATGACCTCGTACATTCACAGAGCTAAAGCTGAGCTGGCTTTAAATGTTGCCATAGCAACTTTTATGCCCATCATGCAGGACCAGAACAGCGTTCATAATTAAGTGATATAAAACCTAATGGCTCCAGCTGTTAAAGAAGGGCTGACTGTGTGTTATGGAGGATGAGAGTCAGTCAGGAGAAGTCTGCTTTAGAGAGCGAGAGAGAGAGAGAAAGAGAGAGAGCGAGTTAGAGAGAGAGAGCAAGTGAGAGAGATAGAGAGAGAGAGAGAGAAAGAGAGAGAGCGAGTGAGTGAGTGAGAGAGAGAGAGAAAGAGAGAGAGCGAGAGAGAGAGAGCGCATGTACTGCAGTACAGCACAGATGAAAAAAATAAAATCCTGTCATCCTCAGCTGTATGACTGTCGGAGGATTACAAGCTCATTTCACCACAAGTTCTTAAACTGACATTACTTTTAAATGGCCCTCGTCTATCACGCAGACAGCACAGTGCATGTCAGCGCTGACTGAGCCCTGTGCTGCATGTGTTACTGTCCACACACAGACATGGGCCTTAAAAGGCAAATTCAGGTCACTTATAAAATACATTTCCCTATTTGACTGGGAACTAACTAATTAAAGGAACTGCTATTATCTCTGACACAATTAACAATGCACTCTCACGCCTAATCAGGAAATAATCGCACAGTTCCCACATTCGCTTTTTAATTTCTAAAGGAGCTACTCTCTAAGTTTCATCACTGCTTATTAAAGTAATCATGTAATTAAACATTTTCTGTTTTTCAGATTTTTTTTAATTGGATATATTTATATGGAAGTACTTTGAAAGAAATAGTGACTGATATTTGCTTGCTGTGTTTTTAAGTGGGTTTTCTCCTGCTGAGAGCGACCCAAAATGTCCAACAATACTGCGCAGAATGTATCCATGAGCCTTATCTCCCCTACACATACAGCAAACTGTGTTACCATGTGACTGGGATCAATACTGACCGCCCCAACATTCCCCATTTTTGTTTATCATACGCATTCAATACCAGCTAGGGCTGTTTTGTTTTTATCTGCTTTTCTGAAGCCTCAGATCCTGAGATGTTGTGATTTCTCTCAAAGTGATATTGTATTTCTGAGAAAACATCCTAGAGGCTAAAAGGACATCTCTGAATGACTGCAGGGCGAGGCGGCATATCTGCTGCATTAGGGGAGATCAGAGTAGGAGAGAGGTCATACTTCACCAAGTGAGTAGTATCTTCTTGGGATCTGGGAGTCTGGGTAGACATTCTCTAGATACCAGGCAAATGGTTTGCAGTGCAGGGCCTCGCGGAGGGCTCTGCGAGAGGAAACGTCTCCGTAGTCAACACGCATCACACCTGCAGACACAAAACTGAGATGAGGATTCAGCCATACAGTATGCATCTTAGATCATCTGTATTTGAGCATTTTCATTTTGTGCTGCAACTTTAAGAGGTAAAACATGCAAGTGTGCATTACCAAGACTAAACACCAGGGGGACCCTGTGAAAAATAAATAAATACAAACCTACCAGAAATTATGAGGTTGTTCATTGTAAGATTCTAATTAGTACTGCATTAATTACCTAATTTCCTTTGCTTAAAGTGGGGCATGTGTGCCATGGTATGTTTTTTTTGTTGCCAAATTGATACTATGTGATCCATCAGCCTTGATTCAACTGAAGACTGAGTAAGGATTCCACACTGACTGGGCATGGACACATACAAATACATTAGGCAGATGGTTTCTCCCCAGAGTGCCTCTTGCAGACTCAGAGCTTGTGTGTGTGTAGATACATCCGGGGGGGTAATTTATCATGAAAGAGCGTGACTGCAATGAGGGAAACAGAGTGCAACTTTCAAAAAAACGGGCCAACATGTTTAACCTACAGCATTGTGTAATAATCTATCAAAAAAGGAGTCCGGCAATGCAAAGAGCACCTTCTGTCACACCAGCAACATTTTACACAAGTCTGTGAAATAGAAATTTCAAGTTGGCAGATAAAAGCTATCAGCGGAAGCCTGCTCTTCCTCCCTTGGTGCTCTTGTTCCTCTCTCTCGCTCTCTCTTTCCCTCTGTAGGGTCCACGCATCACATGTTGAAGATGATGAATAGCCTCTTTGATCTTGAAATCACCAGTGTAGAGGAGGGAGATGCACTTTTAATAGGATCACTTGATGCCCCTCCCAAACTCAGCCTGAGCAGCATACTGTGCTCCTGTGTGCCAACAAGTGAGGCCTGGCAGCAGCGTGGCCCAGACCATTCTCCCTAATGTCCTGGAGGAACAGACAGTCATTGTGGGGCTCACAATACGCAGAAAGCTTCATCCATCACAACACCGGCTCTGTCTGCACACCTGCCCGTGGAGAACCTTCCCCGACTGAGCAGAGGAGAAGGTCACAATTTGTGCCGGGAGATCGGCAGATTATGGATGATCCCTTATAGGGAGGCTGGCATCTAAAACACTTAACCAGAGATTTCCGGGACACTGCTGTCTTCTAAAGGGTAATCACATTACTAAATCGACAGATGGAGGGGTACTCATCTCTCAATCTGCACAGTCCTATTGTTCTTGTTTGTCCAAGTGTGAATGTGTTTGAGCTCTGTCTCAGACAAGACCACAGTAAAAAAAAAAAAAAAAAAAAGTCTAAACGCAACTTCAGCAAGTTCCAATGTAAGACAAGAGATGAGGGCGAAATAAAAATTCTTAAACGATCCAGATAAAATAGCATTAAAAACTAACTGAGAGCAGAGGAGTTTTTCAGTGAAATAATTTAAATGTAATAACAGCGGACACATCAGAAGAGTCTGGTGGTAGATTTGGTGCACGATGAATAACTTATTCTTCAGACAGAACAATGTATATTTCCTTGAAATCTAAAACATGCAGAACTGTACTTGTTAATTATAGTCATCAATATGCGAGTCTACCATTTAGGTTTTAGAGAGAATGAGTGAGACAGACAGAGGCACCTGGAGATATGATGTAGAAGAACTCTTTGAAATCGTCCATCCACACTTCTGCCAGCCGCCTGTTGTTCTTGTTGATGACTTGGCCCGTTCCTCCCGGGAAGCTGTATGGGGTGGCCTTCCGAAAGACATGGCCCACGTGTGAACAAGTTACGATTTCTAAAGATCCTCCACACTGCCAGATCTGCAGACACAGACGCACGTTGTTGATTTACAGAGTGTAACAGTTAATAGAAGTCAGTCATAATTACCTGAGGTCAAGTCAGGTGACTGAAGACTGCTGAATGTGAATTTCAGTTCTTTTTCAGTTTTAATGTGCATCAAAAGGTTTTCTCTTTCTGATCTCTCATTCCCTCCTTTAGTTGGATTGTTCAGTCCAGGAGGCCAGACGGGTCTAAAGCCTTGACTCTATGTCCTGTTGTCATTGCTGCCTTTAACATTTCCATTTTGTTTTGTTTTTGTGTGAAGCTGCAGATGAAAAGACTGTGACGGGCAAAAAGTTGAATCTATCCCTTCCTTTCCTCTAAAATAAAAAAACATCTTAGGGCATGGTCACACTGGCCATCTGTACCGTGCCCAAGCACGCTTCAACCCTAAAGTCCAGTTCGTTTGGCCAGCGTGACCGCGTTCAGGCACGGTAGACTTCCTTGGCTTTGGCACACTTCGGAGAGGTGTGCTTCAGCACGGTACACTTCATGCACGAGCTCAAGCACGCAGGTACACAACACTGACAGCCTTCATTAAGGAGAAATCCAGAGTTTCATGTCTGTATCTGACTGAAATGACTCAAAATAAGACACAAAGTAGCTGTCATGTTCTCTGTGTTGTTCTCCGATGTGCGGCCGCGGACTTGACTGCCCGTCTCTTTTTTTTTAGCCTGTTAGTCAACTGAGCACGCTTCATAATGACATAAAGCATGCATGCGTTGTACTACGACGAACAAGAGGTAATCGTGCTTAAGCACGGTTAGTCCTGGCCAGTGTGCCATGCCGGCCAGCATGGGACTGGCGCAGCGGGGGGCCACTCATGCTTGAGTACAGCACGGTATGGATGGCCAGTGTGACCGCGCCCTTAATACCTTTAAATACATTCTAATCGCTATTTGATGTAGATACATTTTTCTTTAAAAAGCTCATCAGGAAAAAAAAGAACTTGGCTGAGAAGTGAACTCAAAGAAGGTGCTCTGGCTGATGGTCTCAACAGCCCTTTGTTTGTAGTGCACAATGATGAATCTTATATTTCACATTGCTTACTTTGTCGATACTCTTAAAGAAAATCTTTTTAAGCAAGGCTAGAGCTTATATAAGGGACTGTTGCCCTTATTATATCATATGGTATATCTGAATAATATTTCTGAGGGAACATTACTGAGTATTCAAAGCCGATGAATCTGTTGCTTTTCATGGCACTTGAGAGTTTAAACTCATCTCACTAAATATTTTCAGGATTCTGCTTTCTTTACATCTTTTTTTAAATATCTCCTTTGAGTCTGATTCAACTAAAGATGCAAGTGAGAGTGAGGGCAGTCATGAAAACAGTGAAGGGAGTTGGCATGAACTAAGTCTGGTGGCACACCGACATCATGGTAGCGTCCTTTCCCCACCGTCACTTACTCTAAAAGACATTTCCAGGTTCTCTCCGCCCCAGATGTCCATCCCAGGATCGTAGTTTCCAATTTCTTCAAAGTATGCTTTGTCTATAGAGAACAATCCTCCTGCCATTGTTGGAGTCCTGCAAGAGACGCAAAATGATACTTTTGCTTCATTACATCTCGTTATGTTGTATCTCTTAGAGATGATGGTGATTCTGAGGAACATTCAGAAAATAATAAAAGATCAATTTGTTTGACAATTCTGAACAAAGCCTTGGAGATGATATAACTTCAGGCCCTTAATTGAGGACATCGTTTGTTCCTGGGAGTGATTTGCATACAGATGACAAACTGTGCATTGTTTTTTGTAACCCAACCCCCCAAAAAGAGAAAAACAAAAGCACCCAGAGTATTTCCTATTTTTAAATTGAATGAGCTCACCCGTACTTAGATTTTAATAGAGCACAATCAGAGCCATGTGCTATTTAGGACTTTGCTTGCATAAGTTGGATACACAGAGGAAACGAGTCTATTTCTATCTGCAGATAAAAATGGATCTCTTTCATAAGATGAGTTTTTGTGAGGGAATGTGACTATTCATGTTTGCCCTTACACATAAACCCATCAACTAATGTTTCAACTACTAACAGCGTCTTTTCACCTTTTTTGGCCTCAACTCTGTTATCCATTTTCAAAAGACACTACATAAGTGGAAAGTCACTCTTCTATTCTTCGTAATTGATCCAGATTTAGCTCCAGAGGAGGAAGAAACATTTTCTCTTGTACCTGACGGGAAGTGTTCTGTCCCCCTTGCGTCGATCCATCTCCCGCTGGGGAACCGGGTACCAGCGAAAGTTCAGCTTCCAGTTGAATCCTCCATAGGTCATATCTGAGCCTGCCATGTATTCAAACGTCTCGTCGCTGATGACGTCGATGATAGGGCACACGACGGCTGTCCTGAGAGACACAAAGAAGTGAAAGGGAAGATTCAATGTGGAGATAAGTAAGAGATTGAAGGGTCTTGTCAAAGAGGAGCAGAAACTGTAGCCATAACTCCTAGGAAGCAAAAGAAAGAATCCTGGAATGATTTTCTAAAAGCATCTGTCCCCAACCCAATGATGTTCAGGTGTAATATAACAAAGAAAGCTAATTATCTTCACGAATCAGATGCTGTTACTGGGTAAATCAGGAATCTAATAAATCAATGGTAAAAATGTTTGCTGATTCATCGTTTGTTGGACGAGTTAGTTAACTATTTGATACAAGCCTTAGCACAATTATACTAAAAAAAGTTCAGCTGCTGCATATGCCTGGTGTTTTTCTGCTGCGACTAAAATGAGGAACCCCAAAATGCTTCAGATAACTTTGGCATTATTAAAACAACTTCAAAGGGCTTTTAATTATTTGTCTATCAAAGACAGAAAAAGAACGGTCGTACTAGTACACACGTAAAAATCCTGGTAGCAGAGTCAGTCTGCTTTTAGTTTACTACGACCAGAAGTGTAACTAACTATATCAAAAAGGGCCAGCCTTCAGATATACGTACATGAGGAAAGTGCATGCCTGCCATTTTTGGTACAGTGTTTGACCAGTGCAGTAATCATTAATTTATCTAACCTTAGAACTCACCTTTAGGTGAAGGAAATATTTAAAGTAGAAAAAAGAGCATGAATAAAATAATATGTATTCTGTACCATGAACTAGATAAACTAGTTTTTAATGTTAACATACACCGCAGCAGATCCAAGTTAACTTTAATTAACATCAGTTAATTGTTTTAGTTTTTGACAACTTGTTTTTTATTTAATCTGTGAGGGGATATTCTGGTTGACACTATTATTGAGAGAACCTGAGCTGTTGGGGGTTCAGTGCATTGTAAAGGACACCTCAGCAGTACTGTACTCAGGAAGTGATCTGTCACACCTCTCCAGCAACCAGACCGACTTCCATACTTTTTGGTCAGTACTGGGACTTGAACTAGGGAAACCTCCAGTTCCAGACCCAAGTCTCTTCAGACTGAGCTCATTCTACATCTCACAACATTCTGACCTCACAAACCTGATGTCAGCCCTGTTTGCCCTCTGTATGATCAATCATGTAAACTGGAATTATCATCTTCTGTACTATCTCATAATTCTACATCCACTGAAAAAGGCATTGATACATCATTAATACATCAGTGCAGTAGCATTTAGTGAACGTGTAATGGCTGAATAATATTCAGTTCATATGGTAGTGATTTATCCCTGATGGAAAATGATGGAACATTAATAATGTGTCTGTCCAAAGATGAGAGGGATCACAGGAGAAACATTACCAATCCACACGTCTGTTAATGCCAAACAAATACACCATAAGTTTTTTAACAAGCAAGTAAAAGCTATGACCAATAACACCCTGGATCTTTAAAGTAACACAGTTGACTTAATAACCCCAGCCTGAAGAAACAGCAAGCATCAATTGGAGCAGGGTAAAAAAAAGAGGAAACAGTAACTTGAGCTGGTTATTCCTCTGAGCCAGCAGCAGATGATGCAAAATGATTATCTTCTGCTATCAGCAGCGTCAGGCTCAAACTGTGTATTCACACCTGATAGTTTGCTGTCCTGTCAATATTCAGATGGAGCTTTGGTTCAAGCAATCAATGATGCAACTTAAGTGAAATTTGATATACTTTGATAATCACAGTATTAATAAAACATGTCTCAGGACTGAATAGGCAAACGATTAAAAGGATTGACAAGGAGAAGCTCAAAAACACTGCGGCGACTGGTCCTTAAAAAAGGACTGAATCCAGTCGAGTCATATCAGAAAGAACCTTCAGCGAGTCTGTTAAGTTCACCCTACCTGTCCTCTTTGATACGTGACAGCAGGGGCTCCAGCCAGCCCACAGTGCACTCACAGTGAGCGTCCAGGAAGGTGATGACCTGACCTTTGGTGGCGGCTGCCCCCCTTAACCTGGCTCTGATGAGACCTGAACGCTGCTCCATCCTCAGGATCTTCACCGGCACCTCCAGAGTGCGCACATAGTTCTCCAGCTTCTTCTTCAGGAAGTCTGAAAAAAGAACCAACAGATCATTTCTTCATCTTTTATTTATTTATAGCTAGAGACAGAGAATACTGAAAAATGAACAACAACATGTATACTTATTTAATGTAATTATCTATATTTAGTTAAATTACTCTGTGCTTTTTTAATTCAAACCTAAGAATGTGATTGGTCAGATTTAGTTACAAGCACATTTACATAAATCTATACAATTTATTTTTGTTTTTCACATCTGTTTTAAAACATAAAAAAATGGTGTTGTGTAGATTTCTGTGGTAGTCAAAGTATTGTTGTGTTCATGGTTTTTATACTACATCATTTTAGTGACCCACTGAGCCCTGTTCTTAACACAGAGGACAAATTGTATATCCTTATCCTTGACTTCAGAGTTGAATCTTTGTCACCATTGGCTATTCCATCATGTTCATTCTTTTAGCTTCTTGAGTGTAGATCACTAACCTCGCTCACTGGCATCGTCCACTAGCAGAATCTCGGTGAGCAGGTGTTTCGGAGAGCGGTTGATGACACTGTGAACTGTCCGCAGCAGAGTGCTCCATGCCTCGTTGTGAAACACGATGACTATGCTGGTGTTTGGCAGGTCGTCTGAGTACACTTTGGTCTTACAGCTAGAAAACCAGAATTGGACAGAGAAAAGTTCTTCAACAGATGCTTTTATTCAAACAGTTTTGAGAGGCCTGTAAAGGTTGTATATATTTTCACAGGAAAATGCAAAGATAAAAAAAAAAGATACCAAAATATAAACATGATTTTGTTGATCATCAATTAATTTTTATCCCTTTATATACTCATCTGGCAAGGCCTTTGTTCATCTCAGCACCCCTAGATATGAACTGTTTGAGACTACACCACCAGATTGTTACAAAAACAACAACCAACTTTGACCATGACCCTATCATGTATTAAGATTAATTATAAGATACCGTATATTAATATATGTGTTTCTTAATCTAAAAGAATCCCCAGCATGTGTTGCTTAAAGCTGCTCAGATATTCAGTATTTTAATGAAATGTGGATGCTTGGCATTCTTTTTCATTGTTTTGTTTTCTTAAATTCAACAGACTAAATTATTTGATTGTGAGGTTTGAGTTGATCTCAGCTATCATTGGGTAAGAGCACCAGTGGAGTGACAAGTGGAGTAACTTTACTTGCATGTCTTGGACTACGGAAGGAAACGTTAGGTTACCAGAGTAACCCCAGTTCTCTGAAAACTGAGTTAGGTATCTCAGTATGTGTAGCACTGTCTGGCGTACCAGAACCCACATGGTAGGCTAAAAAGCCCAATAGACCTTAATAGTGGAGAAGGCTTTGCTAGTGTCCAGTGACTCCTGCAGAAAAACACAACACAGAATATATTGTGTCTCTAGACTCACACCATCTCTCAGACCAGTGCCACTTGCTGTCATATGATAAATATGTGAATGCATTCTCAATAGTTTTCACCTTCCGAGGCAGGTCTATTCCATTCAAATATAGCATTTCACATGCCAGGTCAAGAGCCAGCAGCTTGGGGTGTGGATGAAAAATTTGACTGTACACCTGTGACACAACAGGGGCCTTATCGTACGCCAGGCCAATCTGTAGCAAGCTTTGCTGACGCACGCTGGCACTACTTGTGCAAATAGACCTTGCGGGGCACGGAGGAGAGCTGCACAGCCTCAAGGCCTGGACAAGAGGGGGTATGGCATCCTTGTCATCATCCTAGTTTTCATCTTTGAGGAGATCCAAATTAACATCTCCTTCACCATGCTCCGTACCCGAGTCAAGAAGCTGGCTAAACAGGGGGGGGGGGGGGGGGATTCCTCACCTGCATCCTCCGTCATATGCCCCCCCGACATGAGCTAGCCAGGGCCAGCTTATCACTGGGTTTAGCAGAGGCATTGGAAAAAACAGGGTGCTGAAAAACCAGTGACAACCAAGTGACATTCTAGTATCCTAGTTTATATAGTGCTGCAGTGCTCGCATGACGCCTGCTCCACACTCGTACAAACGATGCAGAGGGGATGGGGGTCCCTCCCCTAGATGGTAAACCTATATGCAGCCAGTCAAGGGCATGACGCAACAGCCCTAACCCTATCCATGTTTGATCCCAGTAGACATGTTAGCCATCGAGTAAAAAGCGACAGCTAGCTTCACAACACACCCACAAGCGCACCTTGATGTGTAAGCTTGATGGGTGCAGTGATGACCAACCTTTAACAAAATCTGGGGCTGTTCACAAACTTCAATCACAGTGCTGTTTTAAGCCTGTAGCTTGTTTTGCTCTGTATGAGTGTCTGTGTGCTCTGCTGCTATTCAACGCTGTTGTCAGTGCAAATGCATTGACATGTGAGATTTACTGACAAATAACCCCAGAGAAAGTGGAAAACTAAACCCAGTGTTGACAGCAATGTCAGCAGGTCCATGGAATGATGGTCCGTCAGAGCCAAAGAGTAAGAATATGTCAAACTCGGGCCGTTGCTGCAGGCGATGATGCAGAATACAGAATAAGCTGCATTATGGAAGTGGACTGCCCAAGCAAGAGGAGGAGTGGTGGGAGGTGACGGAGGGTGAAAGAAGCTATTGGAGCAGACAGCATCACTGGTTTTGTCCTGTCTATTCAAAGCGACAGGGCTGACTGACACATCTAGGCCAGGAGGTTGCCTTCAAGACAATCCTGCCTGCTCTGAATGATCTTCACCACAGAGCTGCTGAATTTTCGCGAGGCTAAGCTGCGTTCTGTGATAAAGCTGCTGTAATATTTATAATCAAAAAGGTTGGGGCTATTATGGACAGAAAAACTGGGTCGCAATTAGCTGAGTATTCACATTTTCTCAGTAAACTAGGTCTTCTTTTTCACCATGCAGGCAAAATAATTTTTTGTATTTGTACCTCTGCATTGTAGAAAGTCCTGAGCGTCTTTCCTTTTACCAGGCAAGAATAGCAGAGTTCAACCATTGGATGAAAGTGTGAAAAAAGGACATTTTGTGGCCTATAAACTATGGTGTATTTTAATATTTATCAGGAATCACACTAGTGATGTCTCCAAGAGAGTGCCAGTGCAGTTTCATTTCAGCAGCTGTTGAAATATGTGCTCATGTTTTGCACAAATTGCTCCTTGGAATTTCATTAAGAGCTCAAGTGGATCTTGAGTGACAGTAAACAAAACCCAACTCCCATTCAAATGTCAGGCCTGATGTAAACACATGAGGGATCTGATGGATTCTGCTTCAAACAGAGGTGGTAATTACACACATCTTTCTGCATTAAATGCAGTATTAAAACTAGTCTAAGCTAACCAACAAACAGAAAAAAAATACTCTCATCAGCAGAATAAGGTTTTAGAGAGCAGTTCATCTGCATAGTCACCACCTGAAACCCTGTTGAGACTTTTCTGACAAAGAGGGAGAACCCCTGCTGCCTTGCTGAGCCATCAAACACATTTGTCCTAATGCTGCAACCGTTTTCGTGAGCCTAGCATAACAGTCTGCCATGTTAAAAGATGAAAACCCCCCCGAAAATAAAAAAGATAAAAATACCAAAAGCAGAATGCATCAGCCAAAATGTCAAGCTTTTTGAAACCTTACAATGTGTGAAGTGAATCAAAGGCAGGTGTTGAAGCTTACGCACCCGTCTAACCGCACATCCGGCAAACTCCTGTTCAGGGCGATCATGTCACTGGCCATCAGATTGAACTGGTTGATCTTAAAGAGCTCCTTCATTTTCTCCTGGTCGTCCTTGGGAATGTTCACTGCTTTGCCCATCTCCCCCGGACCCTCGTGGCTTCTAGATATCACCGCTGTAACATAACATAGGGAGAGAAAGAATATCTGATGAGGAATCCAGGTGAGAAATGAATGTCAAACTGCACTGTAAAATTAATCTCTGACTATATGAGGTCGACTGTTAATAAGGAAACATTATAAGAAGAAGTACCAAGTTATTAAGGCCCACTAAATTACAAGTGCCCCACACTTCTCATCCTTAATGGGGACCGAGAGTAATGAGTTGTAACTGACCTCGCTGAACTGAGTCTGTTGGCTCTGGGCCCTGTTCTCAACAGCGGGTGGGATAAAAGAGATGTGGTTTTTCAAGAACTCTATGAACCCAGTATTTCAATTCAATTCAATTTTATTTGTAAAGCGTCAACTCATAACAAGTGTTATCTCGAGACACTTTACAAAAAGCAGGTAAAGACCTTACTCATTGTTATGTTACAAAGACCCGGCCTATCCATCATGAGCACTTTAGCATGCCAAAACTAGATCAATAAATCCAAAACAAAACACATGTTATGTCCATAGATGAAGCTTCAGAGAAGTAAAATGATAAACATAATACATAGATGTTGGAAATGTGTCACTTTGATCATTACAACAATGTCTATTATCATGTTCTGAGAAAAAAAAAAGTATGGCTTTTAATCATAAATTAGTGCATAGCAAAAGGGAAGAACGACAAACATTCTGAGTTGTTCTCATCTGTGAGATGAACACATTCTGAAGCAGCCATCACAGTTTCAGGGTTTTTTTTATCTGCTTTTTCAGGAGTGTAGCCGAAGCATGCTGGATTTTTCCCTGTAAGCTCTGCACATTCTAAAGTGTAAACGTAGTTTTTCCTGATAAATTGGCTGTTATGTCATTAACAGTGGTTCATGCACTTGCGGCCTGTATATAGGGTATGCACTATGCACATATGAACATTAGCTGCATTCCCCTTAATAATATTTAATAAAACTGCACATCCTGAAAGTGTGATGGCATTCTCACTCACACTGTAAAAGGCTTTGAGAAAAATATGCTCCCTCACACATCAGTGAACATTGTAAGACATTTGATAGAGCCAGTGCAGCCGCTCTGCTTAAGCTCTCTCCTGGCTGCTGTGGTTTGGGCTGAGTGGGTATTAAGGCACTGCATAGTCCGTAAGCTATATTTAATTTTAATTTAATCTATTTGGAGGTTTTTAATTCAGAGATTTGGGGGGAACATTTTAATAGATGAAAAATAAGTATGAAAGCAAAATCTTTTCTTCTTTGCTCTTCCAATCAAATGCCTGTATACAGGAATACAGTTCCTTTTCTTGCTGCACAGAGCCAGCTCCCTTCATCAAAGGTAAATAACCTTCCCTGGATTTATTATTGTCTCCTTCACAATAATCTCTCAGAGCAGACACAGTGATTTCCATGAAAGAGGGACATGAAGTTCACATTTGCAGCTTGGCCCCAGGTTAAGAGGATTCCCTACAACCCCTCATGGAGAAGGGCATGTGTTTGCTGGATTGTTAACCTCAACTGATCCTGCTCTTTTCTTTATGGTGCTGCTGAACACTCTCCATGTGGACACTGGCTTAAATGGTGATGGACACACCTCAAGAGCACAGCTTGATGATCTCCAATGCATCAGTCTATATGTACAGATCAGCACAGAATATAATGCATGTTGATTTAAATATAATATTAACAGTTTCCAATTCAGCCGTGACAAAAGATTACCAAATTAAATTTGTAACAATACTGTCAGATGTGCACTGCATGGGCAGAATAGATAAGATAAGATAATCCTTTATTTATCCCACAACGCGGGGAAATTTACATTGTTACAGCAGCAAAGATTGCAAACAAAAAGTGAACACAGTACAATTAAATAAAAAAATTAAGAATGTACAAAAAAACAGATAGATACCACAATATAGAATTTAAAAAATAGATTTAAAAAAAAAAAAAAGAAATAGATCAGCTGAGCTGCAGTTTTGACAAAAATGTAGTCCGTAATATTCTGTGTAACACAGACATGCACACAGTGCACATAAAGTCTAACATGTTATTGCACAAAGTGGATTGGTAAACATAATATAACATTAATATAACATTATTATTGCACAATGTCAGAGTGAATTGTCCGGTTGTGTGTGTGTGTTTTGCAGGAGACAGTCCTCAGGCTTAGAAATAACAAGGCAAACTGTCATCCCCACTTTACTACAGCACTCCTGGGCTCTGTGTTGGATCTTGTAAGTTAGGAAATGTCAGACAAATTATCATTTTTCAAGCATGGATAAACCAATATGTGATACACGCAACAGTCAAACGTTATTGTGACTTTTTCAGGATAAATGGGGTTTACTTTCATGATGTCGTGAAGTACATCTCAGTCTTCACTGCAGCTGCTACAGGAGCTTCCCTTATTATAAATCATTTGTTGTCTGTATGTCACTGTGTCCTTATTATATTTTTCTATGTAAGCTGCTCCAAACCAACTGCCCCAAGTTGAATCATCAGATGAATGAACCTTTGTTACCTCCTTGACACTTTATCTATGCTAGCAGTGTAGCCTGAGTGCCCCCTACCATACCTTTAACCATGCTCAGTAACACACATTTGAGAGGAGCCTAGGAATAAAAACTCTCTATGGCAGTGATTCCCAAACTGGTGCCCATGGCCCCTAGAGGGGGCTCGAGGCTATGACAGGCGAGGGGAGCAGCAAGGCTAATTAAACAAAAATAAAAAAAGGACTTCCTGGTATATACCTACTGTATATGTTTCTGTGTTGATGTATATGGTGAGAGTAAGGGGGGCATGAAAATATTTTCATCTGCCACAGGGGGCCCAAAAAGTTTGGGAACCAATGCTCTATGATATGTTCAAGCCCAACATGTTCTCCTCCGACACAGAGCATTCATTATAAAAGACGACCGACGTCATCCAGGAAGGAAACAGTGGCCCCTGTCCTACCTCCGGTCAATCAATCTAAGTCCCTGTCTCTGCCTGCAGCTTAATCCGAGCAATTACAGTGAAAAGGTTTCCCTCACGCTCACAGGTAATGAGTCTTCAGATACACAATAAGTCAATATTTCAGTGCTGGACAAAAATAAACTGTCATATGGCGCCATATACCTGGGCCGTTATGTGATTCATGAGCTCACCATTCTGACAAGATGGCAATTCATCACTCTCTGTGGTATATGTTGACCTTCTCTGAACTATATGTCATAACTGAAAGGTCTCACGAGACTTAATCTGGACTCTTACACTCCTGTTTGTGAGAGTCAGACACACAGACACCATTCTGTTTACCAAAGACTTGTGCTGCCATGCCAGGTGAGTTGATGGCTGTCAGTTTGAAATGTAAAAAGGACAAACAATCAGAGGCAGAGCCAGACCTTTTGACCAGGGCGGCCAAACTAGGGGAACTGACTTAGCAGTGGCATGAAGTTTGTGTGCACACACAACATAACACATCATTACACACATACATTATCTTTAGCTCCTCTCATATAGGTTTGTGAAGTGGTGCAGAGTTGTAGGCTGTGTTATAGCTTGATTCATCCTCTTTCCCACATATTTTACCTCCACCTCTTCCTTCTGCTGCCATGCTCCAGTTACTACCTGTGAGTGTAACACAGCTAGCAGTGCACTACGTTATATATCAGAGAAGCTTCTATTGAACACCAAAACCACAACATGCTGGAGACAGACACCCTGCAGAGCACTACACTGATCTGATGATCAGGTGAGTTGTGGCTCACAGAAAGAACAAGGATTTAGGGTGTAAGGATGCTGGTTGTGCCTTATGGTAAGGGCACACACCCTATGTACAGCATCCTGCACTTTACCTTTCATGTTTGATTTTGTAATCTTGAGTTAATATTATCGCAGCATCGTGATATTATGGTTATCGTGGGTCATGTAAAAGGTTGGAAACTAACTTTTGCGCCTACATTTAACAGTGGCATTCTTTTTTTTTTTAAAATCAGCCTCTTTGTTTTGACTGGCAACATTATGTAATCACGTATACAATTATAATAAAGGCTTATAATATTCTAGTAATAGCCAATTTTATGAAGGAAATGTTTCAACTGTCGAATAAAATACTGATGTGCTCTTTGTCTTGCTCATAAACAGAAAAAAAGTTTGTTTTTGTTATTTTACTTTATTATTTTGAGGCAGTTTGAGTCTGTTCTCAAATGCTGATTTTGCTGCAACTAAACCTCGACTCAGAAGAAAGAGTATCAATGTATGTGTTAAACGTAAATGAGCTCATATTAGAAGAGTCATCACAGTCTGTCAGACATCACTCTGTTACGTTACTTTTATTTCCACCATCGTGGTCGGAACGTTGAGCAAATTCATCTGACACTGTACAAAACAACATACTTTTGGGGGTGCTAATTTCCAAACATGGTCATGTATCATATCATAGCGTACCATAGTTTAGAGCAGTGATTCTTAACCTAGGGTTCTCGACCCCTGCGGGTGTCCAAAGATAAATTCTCAGGGTTGCCAGATGGTTGTGGAGAAGGAAAAAAAAATACATTATTTAAAATGAAGGTACATATGTTTACCTGGGGTTTGGTTGATGAATTAAAGCGCCTGTACCAGTGATGTAACTTGTAAGATTGGCTGCATGGCAGCTTCTGTATGTGCGTCATGGTACTGACACATTGGTTTCAGGGTTTAGCTTCAAGAAAATGATCTCCTTTACATTAAAAACTAGCCTTTATTTTATAATCGGCTGCAAAAGCAACTGCACAGAGAGAAGTGGAGATGAAGAGAAAGAGAGATGACACTGGAGGAAACATCTCCCTTTAATGTCATGTTTTTGATTATTGAATATAGCTACTTAAAGCCAACATGAAAACGTTTTCTATACTTTTGTTGCCATGTCCAGGATGTTTTCAGATAAAATGCAGGTTTCTCGGGCTAGGCTCATTAAAAACAGACTTTGAAATTGGGTGTTAAATTCACATAGCAATACAGACAGCAGGAGAGGAAGATCACACCTGAGAAATATCACCTGTAACCTGATAATTTTTTATTATTAACATAGCATACCCACAGCCATAAGGGATTCATGACATTTCTTTAAATTCCAGCAGAGAATCAAGAAAAGAGCTTTGCAAGTGACATTATCCCCGGATATAAATTCAAAATAAAAGTATTGTGTGTGAAAACAAGGGGCTAGAGATTGATTATAAAAAGGTCATGGCTCTAAAACAGGGGTGGGCAACTGGCGGCCCGGGGGCCACATACGGCCCCCTTCAACCCTCAATGTGGCCCTCAGGTCAATTTTTACATGTCAATTAATTGGAAACACGAAGAAAACATGACAAAATCTGCCAAGAAATCATGAAAACCAGAAATATGTCTATAATAACATTTGATCACTGGTATATGTTGAGTTAAATTTGAGACATAATTGACTGTAATCGTTTTTTGTATCCTACAATTTGGCCCTCTGGCAGTGAGAATTCAATTAATGTGGCCCTTGCTGTGACCAAAGTTGCCCATCCCTGCTCTAAAAGGTCACCGGCGTAGAGTAGGGTAACATAACGTATTGTATCGCATCATATCGCATCGTATCAGGGGTTACCCTGTGAATCCCACTCCTACTAAGGAGTGCCTGTTTTAATCACATATATGAAGCACAGACTCTTGTCAAGCTGGCAAAGACCTGTTCTCTGTCCCTGAACTAGTCAAAAGATCATGTAATGGAGTAAAAATGCACTACAAGCCTCTGAAAGGTGAAATCTCTGAATATTTATCACAGCACTCAAGGTCCCATTCAATTTTGTAAAACCTTAAAAGCAAACTTTGCAGTGTCATAACAAGAAATGCAATATAGGTTTACATGGTATATCATCCATTTCTTCTATTGTCCTTTGGCAAACGACTAAACACTACTTCACCAGCAAACTTACTGAGCAAGGCATTTATGTATTTAGAGCACCACAAAGGGAAGGACGACCTATCTTTGTCACACTTTAAGTCCTCCAGGCATCAACTTAACAGAACAGAGATGAGCTAACAGAAAGGTTTAAGTGTTAATCATTCAAGGTTAAATGTTGCCGTCATAAGGTGAAGACGTTAAGAGTAGGCATATAGCGTTATCATTATGTCAGGATTTGCCAGATTAAACCTTAATAGAAGCAAAAATTTGTGTCAGGTAAAAAAAAGTGTCTGAAAAACGTCCCTTAAACTTTTATCATATATTTAAAGGACTATAATATCTCCTATAAGCATAGTGAGTCATGTACAGCAGTATTGTGTATTGAAATGAGTCTCAGTAGCTGGCAGCTCTGCATCCTTCCAACTTTAAAAGCAGCTTAGCAAGCCTCTTAGACTCCTTCTTACTGCAGGTCATGAGAGGAAATGAACTCAGCTAATGAGGCACTGCAGTTAAGTTTGATCTCAGAATGGGTTACGAGTAAACACAATCCCACACAGATTGTTTCAAGCCATACTATAGGTCGATTAACTATTAAGTAATTAACTATTAAATACTAGCTGAGAATACTGGATGCTGGACAGAGACACCAGAAAATTCCAATCCAAACAAGTCTTCTTGTTTACAAGTCTGAAGAGCATAAAACACTTTATTTATTTCATTAATTACTTAGTTCATGTTTCTCTGACTTTGCAGGGAAAGATATTCCCCTGAGTGAACTGCATGATGGGATATTTGACAGATGATGAATTTTAATTTTAACAATCTTGGAACGTTTACAATCTATGGGTTACAATTACAAACATAAAACAGATTTTTACGTTCTATCAGCTTGATGTCTTGATTAAAACGTGTCACAGCAGGGATTGTGGACTCACCTCGGAGGGCAGGGAGCAGCGAGCGGTCTTTCCTATCATCACATTTGTTACACTCGCTGAAGTAGAGCAGTAGGAAAACGTCCACCAGCACCCACACTAAAGAGGTGGTCAGCACCACCTTACAGTAGACGAACCGTCGCATCACCTCCCCGGGATGTCTGCCAGGAAGCCGAACAGGGAGGGGTTCAGGGCGAGTGCTCAGTCTGCTGACGAAGCGTTTGAACTCTGGAGACCGGGTGAGGAACGAGGGAGGAGAGCGAGTAGGTTTGACCAGCAGTCGTCATCCTAAGAGAGAGAAAAGATATGTTGAGAAGATTCATCACTGTAACAGTAAAGATAGGCATGATGGGAATTTACTGTTGTTTTGCAGCTATGGTTTAATAAACAAATAAACTTAAAGATATAATATATTGAAGTGATGTGTAATCACCTTCTCCAGATTTCTCTTTATGCATTTTAAGAGAACTGTACTTCACGTTAATGTCACATTCCACAAATGGTAGAACATATTAGACAAACATAGGCATCACAAAATGAACAGATGATGTAATACCATGAGTTGGATCAGGTAATGATGGGACATTATCTGTTATTGGGAGAACTATGATGAGCCTGAACTATATTTCTGCCAGACTATATTATTGGGTCGATCTCAGCCCATCAAAGTTATATTGGTATTTGCACATGTGTTTGCGCCATTGACTATATATAAAATGGATGATGGGTCTCAAAGCAATAGCCTCAGCTCTGTCTTCAGTGCATTTTGCAGAACATTACAGCTGTGCCATTTTTGATATAGGTCAAGATTCGCTATATCAGTTAAGGCTTCAATTATATTAAGCAGATCCAGTTGCTCCAACACTCTGGCATCATAAAAATCTGCATTGCTCCTATCAGGTAAGTTTATTTAATCATGGCAAGTGGCCAATCCAGTTTGTAGAGTCACAGCAATCCCTGGCATCATGCTGCTTCAATTAAAATATGATTTCACAGAGGAAAGGAAAACAGCTTTTAAAAGTGGGTCAAAGACAGCACTAATCTGATACAAAAAAGAGTACTGGTAAATACCCTGAGTGAGTTCAGGTGTTTATATTGGGAGGAGAAAGAGTGAACTATGTCCCTTTAGATGTTTACAAAGTCAGGACAGTTGGGAAATGCTCTCACAACATATTAAATAGGGCTACTTTATAAAAACTACCTTGCACACGTGCTTGGCATTTTTGCACTAGAGTTTCTTGTAAATTACCACCCAAAATATACACCATAAAATATGGTGTATAATATTGGTCCAAATATTTAACAATTGAGCTCCAAAATACTGTATGGCAATAATATTCACACTTGAGTTTATATAAGAAAACAACCCAAACAGAGGCAGCCAGGAGAGAGGTCAGATTGTTTTTGCTTCTCCATATTTTTCTTTCATCGAATTGCTCTTATCATTTCTGTATTTTATATTACAACACTTGGTGTGACTGCCATCAATGGTACACAGACCTGTACAGGAACAGCCCATTGCATGTCACCCTCAATTTCCTGTATAACACTGACCCCTAGATCCTCCATATTTCTGCATCTAAAAGGATGCTAATTTCCTCTTGAAGGGTTTCTCCCACTCCATCAGTAGTAGTGCACGGACCATCTGGGAAGCTTTCATACCACAGGCAATTTGCAGAGGTTAGCTATCTCACTGGCATGGCCTGTATGTCTCACAACTTAGTGATAAAAAAAAAGAACGTAATTTTCTGTCAAACAGGATTTCTACTCGACTGAAATTACAGTTTTCTTGTTGACTGAAAGGCTTATGAAAGTATAATGAGAATGATGCAAAAAAGATTCTTTCAGCCATAAAGAACCACTTAATACACCTCCTTTTAGACAAAATACAAGCTAAAATGTTCCTCCAGTTAATTGTAAATGATAAAGTTAAAACTTCAAAAAATATTAATCGAATGGATGTGTAACTTAACCATTTACTCTTGCAAATAGTGGCAAATGCCTGCAGCCCTTCCTGTTGGGAATCTGACAGAATTCCCTATCTTTCACTTGCAGCATGGTAATGATTTTGTACTCCACAGTCTGCACCCACCCCACACACACACACACACACACACACACACACACACACACACACACACACACACACACACACACACACACACACACACACACACACACACACACACACACACACACACACACACACACACACACACACACACACACACACACACACACACACACACACACACACACACACACACACACACACACACACACACACACACACACACACACACACACACACACACAGTCCTCTCTGCTCCCTGTCTAAATGTCCATCACAGGCTTTGAAACTGCTGCCCTGGGCTAATTCTTATCTCTTTCAAAAAACACAAGGCAGCCTCTGTCCAGCTGTATTAAGACCTTCAGACTCAGATCACAGAGTGGCGAGTTATTTCAGAATTTAAAGCACCATTTACTGACTTTTAACCTGAGCGCGATCTAGACTTCCAGGTAATGAGTATAAATCAGCTAAATGGTCCTGGAAAAACTCTTGACATCCAAATCTGTATGTAGCATATCATCCCAAACTCCCAATGTAGACAGATCAATTACAATGCTGTCTGATCTTGACTGTTTGCATCTCCAACCATCTGCTTCAGTGCTCGGGTGGCAGAGACGTGTTTTGGTGCCACTGGCAGCAGCTTGCTGGAGTGTACGTCCGAAGAAGTCTGAGTCAATTAGCCCAAGCATCTGCACATTTGAATATTTATTATCTGCTGCACACATCTCTAAAACCATGTCCCCCTCAGTCTTTACAAGACACTTTTCCAGTCCTTTTGAGACAATTGTAAACCATCTGCATTACGAACTGTTCCTTGAAGTGACGGTTCATTTAACACTCCTTCATGATGTCAGATATCTGGTGCAGGGTAATGAGCTAAATTTAGTGTTCCAAGTTTGTTCAATCGCAGTGCTTCTACTATGTATGCTATTGCAGGACGAATTCATTAGAGTCCATGCTGATACAACTGGACACAGCTCTGATCAATACTTAACATGAGAAATGAAAACAATAAGAGCAGCAAAGTGTTAAAGAAAAGCTGGAATGGTGCAAAGGCAAAACTGATTATGTCACTCACTGTTGAGGTAAAGACTGAAGTGCTATGCTCATGGGCTATACTTCAAGGATACAATGTTAGATAATCACATGTTAAGAACCTGTTGTGTATACACATAGGGATTCAAACCAGAGACTCTCTAGCAGGACTTTCAAGCAGACAGTGAAGCTGTTAATAGGATGTAAATGGATACTGAATTCAGAACAAACTGTTTATCTTGTATCAAATGCTGATAAGACTTGATAGTGGGCACTACTTGATTGATAACAGTGTTACACACGTACAAATTCTGAGTTGTGGCATTTTTTATTGCATGTTAAATTATGTTTCTAAAATAAATGTATGCCTAAACCTTAGTATGTATTTTATAACTGTCTTTAAGGATTTATAGGCCACCAGTAATATAACTGGGCCGTCATATTATAGCATTGCAACAAGAATGTAATATTGCTAAATCAACACCTACCAACTGAAACAGGAGGTGATAAAGCTGATCCCAATAAACCCATTAGGCCGGTTACTGTAGCTTCTTTATAACCCAAACAACAACAACAACAACGATTACTTTTGGCCTTATGGTGATTTAAAAGGTTTGGTGAAGGGAACATAGGGAACATAGGACACACACACACACACACACACACACACACACACACGCACACACACACACGCACACACACACACGCACGCACACACACACACACACGCACACACACACACACACACACACACACACGGGAATTGTGTGATGTGACAGGTTCAGACTATAAGCACTGTACAGCAGTAGTCATGAACCAATAGGCTACTACTCACTCATTCATAACGTAAAGGCAATTTCTAAAGCGTAATGAGTGCAGCTGAAGACGTGTTGTGTACAGCTATAAGCGTCATAAATAAGATACTGTCTGCTTACCTAAATGATGGATGGAGTGAACCAGTGACCTGTTCCAGCGTCGCTCTCAGGCAACGTGTTGAACGCACACAACATGACCCAATATCCAGTTCTCCAGCGGCTAAATACAACTATCATTTGCTCCTAATAACGCAGTGAAGTTGCAGTCCATCTCAACACAGAGTATAGTCTACAATCCAGCGTGATACTGTACGTCCAGTAATGCCGCTCGGGGTACCTGTTTGGACTCCTTGATAGGATTTGTCCCTTGCTTAGCCGCAGTACTACACCGCTGAAAATCCACAGCCTCCATTAATTTTTTTCCCCATTCGTTTTAATGCCACTGCAGCCAATGCTGTTACCCTCTTCTTAGCACACGCACCTGTTCTCCGGCTGAATATTATAATGGTTAAGAGGACAGCCGACATAATATTCCGCAGCACAATCTAACCTCAGCTCAGAACCGACCTGCTAATGTGTCGTTTCTGCTCTCTGATTGGTTCAAAGCGATGTCACTCAGAAACATCTTCTCGAAGAGGAGCGTCACGGGCGTCTGGTAAATGTAGGCGTGTGAATCAACACCGTCACCCAGACGGCGAATTACATGCAACATGCAAAATAGGCTATTGTTTACCATTTTAAAAATATATTTTATTTTATATTATTATTATTATTATTATTATTATTTTTTTTTTTAGCATATATAGTCTAAACTTCCATTAAAACTTGTAAGGGCATTCTCAAAACTATTTCAGAGGGTTAGGAGTCAGACATGTTTGCTTTAGTCTCTTTTTGATGAGATAAATGAACAAATGCACGTTGATACATTTTGAGTTTATAATACTGACATCACATCTTTGCCCTCTGGTTTCTGGAGAAAAGCCTTGATGATTATGGGCATTTATCTTGCTTCTTATAAAATTGGTAGAAAGTGTCTTTTTATCTTTAAATTAGTTTTAAACTTTCAGTAACCTTGTTTGATCACTGAAAACTCCCCAAACACCATGCTGTTGTTTTTTCATCCACTTGTATTACTAAACATAAGTAGGATATATTACATACATTGCATGATTGCATGATTCCTCCACTGAGTGTACTGATTATTGGGTCATATGTAGCCTAACTTTTCTTTTTTTAATCTGATTTGTAAGTGAGTAAACAAGCTGTCAGCTGGTAAAGAAACCAAACAGTGGAACCAGAGGGCTACAATGGGTGGAATTTGTAGAGCATCAAAACACAGAACTACATTGGGTTAGTCATTCCTCTCAGCAAGAGAAACGCACCTCTGGAACACATCAGAAATTAAAAAACTGACAGAGTTCAAGGTTTTTAAGACACAAGTAAAACAATAGCTGAAACTGAATCAAGTCTGTGAGCACTGACTGGGTTTCCTCTTATAATTCTTATTTTATTGTTTGTCTTTTAGTTTCTTATCTGTATTGCATTTTAATGTCTGTAGGTGTATACTATCACAATTTATGTATCTTTTAATGTCTAATGCTTCTGTTTAAATCCTAAAAGCCCAGGATAGGGGTTGCAAATGAGCCATGGCTAGAAACCTATTTTGTATTTTACATGTGAAGCAATGTTCATTCCATCGGTCCCTGTTGAATAAACAAATGAATGAAGACAAAATAAAATAAAAACTATGGCTGATAAAATGATATTGACAGATTGGCAGTGCCACTAATGTTACATTACATGGCAGGCCTTTGGTGAATCATGTTGAACAATACTGCCACCTGCTGCTACTCTTAAGGGACGTTCAGTGCTGCATTGGCTTCTGGGAAATGTCAGAAATCAAATGCCCATCATGTGATTAACATTCAGTGATTCAAGATAATATTGATGTAATGTCAATTAAGCACTCTCACAAACTGTAAACTATGTTTTAGATTATATGTTTTTAAATGTAACTCAACTGAAGCGACTGTAAAGGAATAGTTGACTAATAAAGGCTTCTGTGGTGGGGCGGTGCTGCACATGGCAATTATCTGGGGTTTGTGTTATGCTTATTTATCTTTATGAAAAATGCAAAACTTTGTTACAGCACTTTTGTAGATGGCTTTTTAAAAAGTGTGATAGTTTAAAGTATTTTTTTTTTACTTCAGTGCTTTGACAAGCCTCAAAAATTGAACCACCATGTTGCATGATAGACCAGCTGGATCTCTGCTTTTGCTCATGTAGCAGCGACAAATGTGATATGTTCCCACAAATGGGCTTTTCTGTCTCTTATAATCATCTGCATCTTCTCCTTTTTATCGATGACCTTGGTGATGAGTCTCATCACTTCTCAATGATACTGGTTATGGTTATCTTTATGTGTTCATACAGTAACAACTTGTGTCTTTTTCCAGTTATTATGACATCCTCTCACTGAACAAATCATAGTTTTAATCTTCCAACGCTAACGAGATAACTCGCTTAAAAATACAGATTTTAATTTCATTTGTTTGGTTTTGTTCTTTTTAAGCAGTACAATGAAGAGGACTTTCTTTTGATTTTTTTGCCTTTATAAAGAACTAAAGGGTTCAGGAGGAATAAAAAAACATATAAATCTACCATCCTACCCTTTCTACAAGGAAAAAATAAATAAATAAGAATGAATTACCTTTTTTTTACAATACATGGCCAAAATAAATACTTAAATACATGCACATTTGCATAAGCCACGTGGGAGCTCAATCCACTTAACAGATAGCTGACATATTGCATTTTTGTATAGAAAATCACATCTTCAAACTACAGTACTAGCTTATTGTTCAACTGTTAGTGATTCACTTGTAAATAAAGCACAATCAGAAGTACCAGGTTACCATAGAACATAAGGGGAATTCTGCCATACTGTTTAATGACAGAAATGAAGCCAAATGTGCAAACAACATTCATGAACATAAGTATAATGTGTTCTCTTTAAACCATATCAGATACAATGAGTATCATAGCTTGTTCCTTTGGCAGAGGGTTCCCCTATTTCATTTTTCTGCAGGAGACTGTGGCTGTGACATAAACTCAATTAAACAACGGTGAGTTCAACACCCGTGGCTGCACACTTCATCTCTTTAAAGCCATCTCTTAGAAAGTTATTACTTTCTAATATTTAACAATGATAAACACACTTTCTTACAACATCTTTGACATCTGCAAGAACAGCAAAACATCTTATCAGTGATTTTTCATTCAATCTGTAATAAATAACTTTCTTTACTTGTGTTTACTTATCATTGTGTTGCAGTCTAAGACTCAGTTCCACATCACAATGAAAATGTATCATGTGGTTTTAGGTTCAGAAAAGCATGCATGTTGCTGGTGGTGATGTTGGAGTTATGTGAATGTTATGTGAAGATATTTAGTGAAATACATTTTCCCTAAAACAACTTTTTTTCTTTATCATAATCATAAATGTGAATATTTAAAGTAAAAAATACATTTAAACTAAGAAGCTAATAGATGTATTAATTTACTTAATTCATTTTGAAATCCCTATATTCTAGACAATTATAAACAAAACTCAACCAGCATGTTAGGTAAAAAAAAACATTAAAGAGACATTGGAGATTTGCAAGGAAAAAAGTGGCATTTGTCAATTTATCACACTTAAATACAATTAATAAAATTATAATTTGTCTGTCCTTTCAATCAAGACCAAGCCATGTGCCACTGCAGATGCAAGAATCCGCTCATACATTGAGACACAGTTCAAAATAATCTTTTTAACCAACAGTTCGTTTTTACATCTACAATTAGAACGCAGACTTAATTGATAAATATACTTTTTGCCAATGCCTTGCTCAGTGCCTCGACCTGAGGTCACCACTTGGGATGTGATCTGGCACCTCTCCAGCAACCAGCCAAACTTCCATACTTTACTCTGTACCAGGACTTAAACTGATGACCCTCCAGATCACAACCCAAGTCACTACAGATGAGCCACTGCTGGCCTAAATACACATATTTGCACAAATGCAGGTTGTTAGGGAAAGTAAGGCCCAAGACCACAGTTTTATTTTTTAAGAAATAGTGGGTATTGGTCTATATATCAACTAGGAATAACAGAGGTCAGATAAATATTACTTTAATTATCATGAAAAACTGTCAAGGGAAACTAAATACAAAGTAAAACGAACTCAACCCAAATAACTTCCAATGAGCTGGCTCCAGCATAAAAGTGTTCACAATCCTGCAACTTTTGCCATCCACCAACCACCAGGTGACTCAAAACTAAGATATTATGATTATGCATTTAAATTAAGAGATGTTGGCGGCTATAACAGCCATCACATGAATTACTTTTTAAGCTTTAACTTTCTTGCAAAGTACCAATATCAAAGGAACTTGATGAACACAGATGTCATATCCATAACACATTATATTGTGCACTACAGTGTCATAGCATTTTAAAAAGACTAGCTAAAAGACTAAAAAGAAAAGAAAGATAAAGAAGTAACCTGTAAAACTTGGCCTCTAAATATACAACTAATCATTTTAAAAGATAATTATAGCAAGTCTTATAAAGTCACAAAGAGAGGAGGAAATATTGCAGCATTGTGTCAAAAAAATCTATATCCTTCATCCAAGCAACACTTACTAATCTACAAACACACAGCTATACATTCCATACGGAACACAATGTACCACATGCATGCTTTGGTGCACTCTGGTCGTATGGTGGCGCTCTTGGAGCTCCGTCCTTCCCCTCTAACGCAGGCAGGTGCTGCTGTGAGGCTATTTAACCGCGGGTTGGTGGATTCATTCTGCTCTGAAATAGGCGACAGAACACATGAAACCTCCAGTAATGCGATGCCAAAGCAGCTTGTTGAACTCTACAAGAACTTCTCCAGTTCAGCACCGCATCATTTCCACTTCTATGACTTTTTCTCCTGGATTGTGCCAGGCGCGTCTTTCCTCATCGCTCGCACTTTAAAGTTTGATTCTTTTATTTGGGAAAAAGAAAAGTGGAAATGAACAACACCGGGCTAAATCAGACGGAGGCAGGACTCCTCAACAGGACGGAGGAGTTTTTCTGCTGCAACTTTTCCTCCGTGGTGACTGATAATGGCTTTGTGGCTGCAGCTCCGGATGAGAGGAGCCTCTTCATCATGAGGGTGGTCCAGATCGCCGTCATGTGCGTTTTGTCCCTCACCGTGGTGTTTGGCATATTTTTTCTCGGTTGCAACCTGCTTATAAAGTCAGAGGGAATGATTAACTTTTTGGTAACGGACAGGAGACCATCTAAAGAGACTGAGGCAGTTATTGTTGGAAACTACTGATGGATGTGGACCCGTGTTATTCTTGGAATCAGATGGAGACAGATGGGAGACAATGCAACTGCCTCAACAAAACCCGTTTTCACAGATGTATTTAGAAAAACCTGAGAGAAAAAAAATAGCCCCCCTCCAGGAGGAAACTGAACCTTTCTGGTGATTGAGCCTCACCTAATTTCTTGTGGCCTTTTAATGCCAACAAAGACTCCTT